TTAAATATGCGATGCATTTAAAATCAACAAAAATTAATAATTCGTCCAACTAAAGTTTACAAAATCTGATCAGGGAAGGTGAAGCTACTTATCTTTGTGTTTCACAGTCATAAAGCTGTTTAGGAAAGAAAACAGCACAAGCTAAAAACCTATGAAAGTTATTGTGGGTTGTGCAACGAAAAATAAAGCTTAAGGTTTAACTGGAACCGGTTTATGATGTCACACCATGCTAAATACAGCAAACTAATGCTCTGGACTAGTTTACAGCATTTAAAGAAGAGAGTCAGAAAAACACACATACATTATATTTACATCTTTGTTTAAACATCTAAGCTAAGTCAAGAATCTCTGCGATACACAGTTAGAAAATCTGGCCAGTTATTTCTTTTTGTTTTTGCGAAAAATTTCCTTATGACTTTATACCAAAATACTTCTAGATTTCCAAGCTACAAAACCTCGCAGAGGCAGCATTAGGCAACATTTACAGAGGTGAGATAAGAAGCTCTTCCTCTTGGCCATTTATTTCCCTAAAGATTATTTCTTTCTTTATTCTGGAACTGAATACTTTAATTTTATTCAGCAGCCTGACTCAGATTCAGCAGCTTTTTAAGGAAGCACAGAGAAAAGCTGCAATGCACCAGACTGACTGACACAAAGACTCAGAGCTGTGACTCCACCTTTATTTTTTTAGGAAATTGACAGAATTTTGTAAAAATGTGTTTTACAACAGTTATTTTTGCTAATTTTTGCTGTTCATAGCCATTAAGTGTGTAACAGCTAAGGGGGATTGATAAAGTGATTAAACATTTGCCAACCAACTGGGTGAGGAATGCAAATAAATATGAATCCACGACATTAATGAGACCCGTTGATGTTGTCTGTTTGCCTTTTCTGACTGACCTTGTAGTAAATGATTTATATAGACAGGTGAAAGGGGAGAGTAGGAGGAGCATTTCATCTAGTTTTTCAGTCATTGGAAAGATTTTTCATTTCTTTACTTTTTTTTATTTTCCTTTTCCAAAGCTGAAGAAAGAAAGACAGCTGAGCATCAGTCACCTGTGAGCCTGGATGATGAGGAAAGCTTCCCAGTGACATCTCTTGTTTTTATTCACCTATGGAGTCATACGTGTTGGATTGTTTGTTATGTTTGCTCCCATGCTCCTTGTTTTTCCTGCTGTGTTTGGGCCTCCGCTGGCCGGGGTTCTGCAGTTGGGTAAATGTGGCTGTCAGGGCTGCAGGCTGGATGCTGTGGGTCACAACGTGTCTGATCCTGGATCTGCCGCTGCTGCACGGCGACGAGGAGCTGAAGCCACCAGAGACGTCATCAGGTCAGACCTCAGATGGACCCCGGCTCATCTGTAAACCCTCTGCACTGGCCAGGTATCTGCTGCAGCACTGTGGCTCGCTCACAAAGGCAAAACTGGCCGACTGGCCCTGGGGAGACCCCCACCTGCAGACGGTCTCCAGCCAAGTGTGTGGAGAACATGCAGACAGCATCCAGTTCACCAGAGAGCACCTCCTAATGAAGGACGGGGGGGTTGTGGCTCTGGACTGGGCAAACAGGAGGTGGGAGGTGAAGAAGGAGCAGCAGTCAGGGACGAAGGCGCTCGGGTGTTTCACCTCGACACCCCCCGTCCTGCTCCTCATCCCTCAGACCTGGGGAGGGACGACCCCCCACCTGCAGTGGCTCAGCCAGCAGGCCGCGCGGCAGGGCTTCTCTGTGGTCGTGTTTCACCATCGGGGCACAGCCGGGTCGCCCCTCACCACAGCAAGAATCTGTGAGTTTGGAGACTCGGCGGATCTGGAGCAGGTACGCTTTAAAACGCTGGGTTTTCCAAGTGGGGCAGCCAGGGGGCGCTGTGCTGGGGGCCTCAGCAAGTTGGAGGGAAGATGAGAGAAAAAAAATGCAAAACTAAAAGAACAATTCTATCTATATTTTTATCTTAAATTATTCATCATAATTTAGTGTTTGTTTTTCAATAATTTTTTAAAAATAAAATAAGAGTTTAATTTATTTTATGATTGGCTGCCTGTTAAGTTTATGAAGCTGCGTCGCTCCTCAAAACTAGCATCACAAGCAGGAAGTGGAAAAGTTTCTGACAAGAGCAAAGCAACTCAGCTGTGGTGAATACCTGCAAAAAAACATAAGAACTGTGGTAATAAAATAAAATGTGATGGGATTATTATAAAATATCACAATTATCATCAAAAGAGGGAATTGTAATGAAAAATTGTATTATCTGGTAATAAAGTTGAGGTAGATATCTGATAAAATTTTTCGTCACAGAACTCAAGGCCATCAAAAATCAGATGAAGCAGCATTTGTGCTAAAAGAATGTAATAATTATTAAATAATGAATAAAAACATTATAAAAGTTGATGTTTCTTACATATTCTGTATCCGTGGGTTTAAAAAAGGGGTCAGAGGTTAATCCTCTTTGGGGACATGGAAAAGTTGGGGAACTGCTTTAAAAGAGGATCAGCTGATTACATCAATTCAGTCTACTTGCAGTTTTTGCTTATATCTGAATCGTATTTCATTCTTATTTTGGCAAAATGTTTGAGAAATCTACCTCTTCATCCCCTACATTATTAGACACACTCCTATCTTCTGTGCTGCAAAGTCAACATCTAGTTTATCTGTCTCCAACTCCAGTCTTTGAAGACATTTAGCTGAAAACAACAAATGAAATACCTCCTCTACATGCCAACAAGTTCCGCAGAGGCCTGATAATGAGTCAGTTACCTGAATCAGGTACGTTGGAGACAACGATGCTCACAAGGAAAAATAAACGGTTTCTCTGCAGCCGAACAGGAAAAGCTAGAGAAGACAATAAAGGTTTAATCAGTTTGCATTCTAATGAATCAATGGTATAATTACGAGTAAATTAGAGGTTAACCTGCCTTAAATCGTTGAAATAACTCTTTAATTAGATGGAGTCAAAAGCTTTTGTAAAACTTTTTTTCTGGGTGCTTGTTCAGGTTTAACTTTTTTTTTTTACGTTTTATTATAAAATTAGATTAAAGTTACCTTTGTGGTTGAGATTTTAAATGTGCAGACTCCACTTTGATATATTTTGTCCTGAGTTCAGACATATTTTTCTATTATATTTTTTACAGCTATCAGTGCCGTGTGTTTTCAGGCGGTGCTGTATGTCCGCAGTCGGCACCCGTCCTCCGTGTTGGTTGCGGTGAGTGAAGGATCGGGCTCCGCCGTCCTGCTGTCCTACTTGGGCGAGCGAGGTTCAAGCACCTGCCTAACAGCAGCTGCAGCCATCTCACCTGTGTTGCTGGGGCAACGGTGGTTTGAAAGCGCCATGCCGCCTCTTTACCGCTGGGGGGTGCTATTTCACAGAAAAATGCAGCTGAGCAGGTGAGAATATTTTACTTTATACAAATCCAGAGGCTGGTAGTGTAACCATAAAATATACTCAAGTAAGAGTAAGCAAGTATTTGGTAAAAATTCTACTCAAGTACTGAGTGACTGATCAAAACATCAGTCATTTAATATTTAAATCTTTAAAATGGTATTTTAAAAATCAAAGTTAAAATAATTTGCAGCACTGTTACAAATCAGTTTCTTTCAATATAAAAGTTATGAAACTTTAACAAAACCTGCAGGTGTGTGTTTTTGGTTAAAATAAGGTTGTTCTTCATTCAGTAAACTTACCCACAGCAATATCCAGAAGTTTGACTGAAGTAAGAGTAGCAATACATCATCATAAAATTACTCAGTAGAAACAGTAGAAAGCAGTGTGTAGCAAAATACTCCTAAAACTACATTTTTTCCCAAAACGTCACCCAACTCTGCACAAACTCCAGATTTTAGTTTTGCTATATTTACTAAAATCTTTGCTTTTCTTCCATGCTCTCAATAGATATGTCAGTTCGCTCAGAGGAATCCTGGATGTGGATCGTGCCCTCAGATCCTCCAGCCTCAGAGATTTTGAAGAGGCTCTTTTCTGCTCTCCCACTGAGAAAGTTTCTCCATCCACAGAGAGAAACCCTGCATCTCCCTCCCTCAGGGGCCTAACATCAGCAGCGGCCTGGGCACTGGGTGAAAGAGCCTACCCAGCAGCGAACTGGGAGAGCTACTGGGGGAGGAACGAACCTCTGAGAGATGCAGATGAGGTGGCGGTCCCAGTGCTCTGCATCTGCAGCTCTGATGATCCCCTCCTCCCTCCGGCCTCCACGCTCCCCGTTTCCCTTTTCCAAAGCAACCCTTACTTCCTGCTGGCGCTAACAGACAGAGGAGGGCACTGCGGATTCGCCCTGGACGCCGGGCAGCAGACGGATGAAGATACCTGGAGTCATATTGCAGTGCTGGAGTTCCTAAGAGTGGCGTCTGACTTCCTGAAAGAGGCGGAAAGGGATTGGAAAAGCTGGAGAGGCCAACAGGAAGTGAACGGCGTCAGAGGCCAGAAGAGCAAGATGAACGCTGCAGCGATGTCACGTCGGAGGAGAGGCGCCACGATGAAGAGATCCAGACCCCAGCCAGCCGGCCAGAGCGGCGTGGACGATGTGGATGGAGACCCCTTCACCTGGAAGAGGTCTTACACTCGATAAGACATTTTATACGTCAGGTTTTCAAAACTAGGAAAATAAATTCTTGTCCAAAAAGGTCCAACAGTCCTGGGTCATGTTTGCTGAGTTCTCCACCTCCTGTGTTGAAGACCAATATTTAGAAACTGAACGGCCAAACTGCTGCAGTGGTACATTTATCAGTTTATGAGACTGATAATTTTCATGAAATAAAATTGTACAAACCCAGGTGAAAAACATGTCTGCTCCTGGCAGTGGAGGAAAGTGCTAAAATGTTTGACACCAAATTTTTCCCTCTTGCTCAGGTTTCAATCAGGATCAAGAAGTATAATTTTTATGCCAATATATTAAAAACTATAGTGAATAAAATAAATATAAGCACGTTATAATATACAAATCCTGACATTTAAACTGAAGTTTTTGTAAAATGATGCCAACATACACACTATGCAACAGAGAAATATTAAAATTACTTTATTACAGATGATTCTTTATCCAGTAGCCCTCTTCCAACAAAAAATAGTAATTACAAACAAAATATTACATTTATCCCCTAAACTTTGCATCTGAATTACTTTTATACATTTTAAATCACTTATTTTTCATCTGAATGAATATCTATTCTCTTCTGCTATGCAACATTCAGCTTTTTTTATTTGTAATTTTTTTTTGCACAAACTATACACTTTAATACAGTTTAATACAGATCTGTGGACAAGGGAGAATAAAACAGCAAGATTCACCAAATATGACAGGAAGAATAAAAGGAATACTGATAAACAGACTGTACAGAGAAGTGACCCGGCCGTCCACCGACTCTCCGCCAGCAGCAGCTGCCCCCCCGCTTCGGGAGGAGGAGGAGGGGGGTCAGGTGTCACAGTAGACTCGTAAAACTGGTCAGCTACTTGTGCAATCAGTGCAACTGATCCAGTTCGGAGTGACCAACGTCTAAAGCTAGACTCTGCCCCCACTGCCTTGCAAAAAAAAAAAAACTATAGTAAATACAACTAAACCTCTGCAGGTTGTTTGGCCCTCTGCAGGCAGTTTAAGGAAAATAAAACACAAAAGAGATGAAGAGAAGGGGAATAAAGAAAAGCACTCATTTAGTTTCTAAACTGAGAAACTAGCATGTTTTGACAGGATGGGGATCTAATTTTTGTTGCTTATTTCTAGATGGAAGTGTAAAATGCGAGTCTCAAAGATTAAAGCCTGAGTAATGTCAGAGGATCCCACATGACCTAAAGTTTCCAAAAACTAAATGGACCTCAGAGCCTTGTGCATGACTTTGGAAACTACCTCAGGGTGAAGAGTGCATTAAGTTTTGTGGCATTTAAATGGTTTTAGAGTCTAACCTGGTGTAACACTGTCAGTGTACAGTCCGAGCTAAAGGAGAAAAATATTGAAATTATGTGCAAAAATCCTCCTCATACACTTTTGAACAAATTGTTGCCGCTTCCACAAGGCAATTTGACCTAAAGCCGTGTTTTCGTTCACAGCCGAAAAAAAATGTGTAACAGCTGCAAACAGGACAGGTGAAAACTCAGTAAACCCTTTTAATTTTTTTCAAACTACAGCAACTCTAAAGCCACAGCATTGTGCCCTCACTGCAGGTTCATCTCGCTTCGGTTTGTCCTCTAGATTTCCAGGCTGTACAATATTCACATGTTGACTGTACATTCCATCTGTAGCTTCACAATAAGACTTGGATCTTCTCTAAAATTCTCTCTTTTATAGATTCATATGAACACCAGCACATGTCCTGGTCCGTCGTTTCTTCCTCTGAGGGACGATGTTTCCCTGCAGACCAGCGAGCGGCCCCCGGGTTTGGGGCCCTCGAGAGACGTGGGAGGGAAGGAGGCGAAGGTGGAAGGACGCAGGGAGATCGGTGGTCAGATCGGAGGGTGAGACAGAGCGGGGTGTCACACCGGGGGAGGGGCTCTGCAGGGGCACAGCAGCGGAGATCCCAGCATCACCCCCCATGGATCCGCAAAAACATTCAGCAGTCACCAACCGACAGACAAGTTTTATCTCTGAGGCCTTTTTTTTTAAACTTTAAATCAGCATTTACATCTCCTTCGTCACTGAATGTGTGCCGTTTTTCCATCTTATAAGCTTTACACTTTCTCTGTACATGCGTCCGAGTTTACCTACTGGTTTGACTGTATATGTGTTTGTGTGAAATCAGACGTAACATTTTGAGTTGGCCTTGGCCAAAGTGCGACTCGCTGTGACTGCACCCCGCCAAACAGGCCGACAGGCTTTTACTGCATCGTTCAGGACATTGTGGAGTTACTGCTGACAGGTGAAACGCGATCACCGGCTTTTATTCAAGTTACCCACTACTGAAACGCCGTCCCCGTCATGACGGATGGCGGGCTTACTGCAGCGTCCGCCAGAGCGAGACTGGGTGGGCAGAGGTCGGTGGAAACCCAGGAGCTGAGCCAATCGTCGCTGCTACTACTTGGCTGTGTGGCTTAAACTGGCCGAGCCTCTCTGGCACTCAACGACAAACACAATCCAGTGCTGGCACGGACAGTGGTGGCCCGAACTACTCCTACAATTAGCATGCTAGCAGTCTGACCCAAAGTCCTTAACTAGAGATTCATAGAGAGACGGGTTAAACTTGACTGGTCAAACTTCAGAAATCCAACCTTTTTCCAAGCATTGAATGCAGGACAACCAAAGGCTACACGTTCATGCTAACACCACCATGTGGAACAAAATACACTGAAAAGGTGTTTTCTGGAGTTTTGAAGTAAACCAAAGCCATTAGAAGCAAAACGGAGACCAGTTATTATATTCATTAGTGACGACATTATTCTGTATTTTTGCCCTTTTGGTTGTTTTTTACCCAACTTTTTAAGTTTTGCAACCTCTTTGGGTTCAAACCTTCTGGTCCAACTGAGGAAGGGGCAAACTGGCCCAGACTCAACTTCAACAGGTAACAGGAAGTGTGAAAGGAAAACATGAGACTTTTTCCTGTTTTTTAGGCCTTACAACCTCAGTAAGTCCTGGAACATGCTGCTTTGAAATGTTGACGAAATATAGGAAGGAGTTCAGGTGATGACTACAATCTCTGTAGTACGACAGATCAACTTCAATTAGTAACTTCAAATGAGTGAACAACTGCTCTCTCACAATACAACATGAGGATATAAACAAATAAGGAGTTCTGGGTAAAAACTAAATACTTTAAATGCAGTTTTTAAATGTCGTTCTCAAAGAAAATTGACTAAAATCCGTATAAGCGGGTCAAAGGTCAGCAAAGACGAAACACCAGAAACCGGCCCAAAGTCTCTAGAAATAACTCCGACCTCGAAGCGTTCACTCCGGCTGTTGCTTTGGTTTTCTTATTTAAAATCCAAAACTCTGGACATTTAAACATTTTCTGCAAATATGTCGTCTTATCCAAACCTAGTTTACAAAAAACATAGATTCAGAATAAAATATTGTTCCAAAAATACTTAATAGCCCCCCAAAAAAAAGCACATTTAAAATTTTGTTTTTATTTTTTAATGCGTGTTATTTTAACCTATAAATCTCTGGCCCTTTATAAACCCCTATATTTCTTTTTAGAGTTGTTTTTTAATCTAATTGCTTTTAGAAAAAGAGAAGTTTAAGGAAATAACTTTAATTTTGATTGATTTTATAAGTCCATGAAAATCTAATTGATTAACAATTCAAGTTGTAAATTAAATCAAAATCAACTTGTGTTTTTTATGAACTTAAATTCTTAATTATCTTGCAGATAACATAACTAGGAACAAAATCTGTAAAATCAAACATTTCTTCAAAGCTTTTTTACTTCTTTAAATCTGGAAATGCTTAAAGTAAATCCAAACTTCCACAGGCTTTTCTGCATAGGAAATTCCCCAGTTGACACCAACACACAACTTTCAGTTTTTCCCTCCTTTAAATTTTCTCTGCTCTGTCGACTCTTCTGCCTTCCAAACATTTACCCAAGATCACATCAGTAACTTCAGTCTTTTTGAGTGTTTTGACGGGATCTCACAAGGATTTATGTAACTTCAGTTAAAGCAGCAACTTTTTCCTCACGAGACGATTTATTGTGCAAACATCCGACTCAATCAACTAGTCCCTTAAAAATAACAGAACCTGCTGAAAACTGGCCTCTCTGGTGAAACTCTGTGGTGAACATGGCGGCTGAATGGCAACGCAGGCTGAATGGCAACGCAGGCTGAATGGAGCCGATTGGCTGCAGTGGCTGAATGGAGCCGATTGGCTGCAGTGGCTGAATGGAGCCGATTGGCTGCAGTGGCGGCTGAATGGAGCCAATAGGTTTCAGCTCTGATGGGTTTCCAAGGACGGCCAGTCTCACCAGTCTGCATGGTGAGGTGCATTGTGGGATATGACCTATCTGTGCTGTGCACTTTGTGAGTGTGTGTGTGTGTGTGTGTGTTTTAGTTACAGTGACTGTGGTTCTTGTGTTTTTAGGTGTATGACAGGTGGGAACCGTTGGAGATCTGAGAGGTGATGCTGGCGCTCCTGCTCATGCCCTGTTCACTCCTCCCCCCCGATGACGTCCTCCTCATAGCCTGCGGGCTGTTCCTCACCCCTCCTGCGCCTCCCTGACTACTTCTCTGACTCCCTCCTCCGGGATGGTGGAGGCTCCAGGGCGGCGGGCCACCTGCAAGCATGGGGTGGCCCCAGGGCTGCTGCGAACTGGAGCCCCCCTGGTGGTGACTGTGGTGGCTGCCTCCTCCACCGCCTCCGGGCCACTGGCTTCCCCCCTGACCTCCCTGACCTCCTCCACCGCCTCCGCCCCCCCAGCCTCCTTGGGAGTCTGGGGCCAGGTTGGTGAGCACCATGTTGCTGAAGCCCAGTCGCAGCGACTCCGAGTCGAAGGCCTCGATCTCCCGGGCCTGGCGCTCCAGCAGCGAGCGGATTCGCTCCAAGCGCTCGTTCTGGAGGGAAAGCATTTCCTCTTCAATCTGAGGGGAGAAAAAAAAAACAACATACGGTTAACAGAACAAAAAAACATTAAAACCTAACAAGTATTTTTGGTCTAGTTTGTTCTGCATGTACACTTAAATAAAACAAAACTAGCTTATAAGTAACTTTCCAGCAAACAGAAGTTTGTTTTGAGTCACTAATTCCTTCGTGTTGATGAAAAAGTATTAGTTATCTACAGTGGAACAAGACATTTTTCCATATTATTAGTACTTCTAACATGTACTTTTTCATCAAACGCCTATTTTTTGATGAAAAACTACCTGTAAGCTAGTTTTGCTTATTTCAAATGTGCCAAGGTATTTGCACTGGAAATGCTTGGTAAAGTTTTGTGGTTTTGCACCTTCATTAACTTCCCGACAAACGCAGAACTTTGCTTACTTTCTGCTCCAGCAGCGCCCTCCGCAGCGACACCCGCTGCTCCAGGTCCCGCCTCTCCTTGTCGTGCTGCGCGTCTGTTTGCATCTTGATCTTGCTCTGGTAGGCGTTGAGAAGCTCCAGCTCCTGCTGCAGCTGCATCCTCAGAACCTGACACTCGCCCTCCTGGGCCTCGTCCAGCCGCAGCTGCAGGCGGGGCGGCCGCACCGCAGAGAGAGAAGGAATAAACCATTTGCTGACACATTAATGCAACTGATAGTAAACGAGCAACAAAGACAGAAAAATCAGGGCTGCAACTGACCATTATTTAAGTTGTTGATTATTCTGATGATTTAGCAGATAAAAGAAATAATTTGAATGCATGCATGTGTAATTGAATTGAAATTATTTTTTGTAAAGTGCACTGGATTACATTTGTTGTGAATTGGAGCTACATAAATAGTTTGAATTGAATAATAATAAAAAAAAACATTTTATTGCCTAAATGCAACAACGTTTGTTTAGTGAATGCTTGATTATTTGTTGCAAAGGATGCATGAAAAACAGACCAACAATACTTCTAAGCTCAGCTTTTTCTGCTTGAATCAACAATGACTGTAGGGCCGATGTGTTGATTATTTTTTTGATTAGCGATCAATAATTGGACTGGAAAAGGTGATTAATAGATTTTTTTTTTTTTACAGAGTTTATAAAAGGTGAAGCTTGCGCCACTGGAGACGTTCTGGATAGAACATATTTACACAAAGCTTTTTTTTTTTTTTTAAATCTTATATGCAAAGTGTTTATTTTTTTGTATAATTTTGGTTTAACTGCTGCTCTGAGTCTGGTGTTCTTTCAACAAATGGCCATTTTTTTGAGTCTGAAACCTCCAGTTAACGATTAAGCGATTTCTGAATTAGGTGACTATTATTTCAATAATAGATTAATCCGATCAATCAAGGATTTTTTCCCGTTTCAGGATTCGATCAGTGAAGCAGACGCTCACCGCCTGGGTGGAGAGCATCTCGTTGATGGAGTGGTCGTACTGCTCGGCCAGGATGGCCAGCTTCCTGGTCTGCTCCTCCTTCAGCCTCTTCAGGACGGCCTTGTGCTCAGATTTGGGCGTGGTCTCCAGGAGGTGGTTCCTGAGGGCCTTGTACTGCCGGGTCTGCGTCTTACACGTCTCCTGGAACTGCTTCTTGATCTGAAGCTCCTTGGACTGAAGAAGAGAAGTTGGTTTTTAGGTCGATTGTTTGTTCAGGAAAGAAGCTCTTGTGCCCTGATCCTTGTACCTTGAGGCTCTTGGGTTGCTGCCGGACCTCCATCACATGCTTGCGCCTCAGCTCCCTCTCCCTCCTCTTGTTGTACTCCAGCTGGTTGGTGAGCTCCGTCTGGTGCTGGGTCCGGATCAGGTCGGCGCGCGCCCTCTGGATGGTCGCCAGATGCCTGAACTCCAGCTCCTGCATGGACTCATGGTGCCTCAGCAGCATCGCATGTTCCAGGTCCTTCTGTGTTTGTCGCTTGTTCAGCTCCTAGCGAGAGTTGTAAAAGGTCGTTCAAACAAAGAAATAAGCTAAAAGCGGCGTTTATGTTTAAGTGCCTTTATGTACCTCTCTTGCCAAATCCTGCTCCACGTTGTGTCTGGCAATGAGGATCCTCCGTTTGAACCGCCGACACTCCAGCTCCAGGTACTGCCTCTGCCTCCTCAGCAGGTTGGCCTCTTCTTCCGCCTGCAATAATTGGACAAACACGTCAACTCCCACAAACCTTACAGAGCTTTTCCGTTACGTTATTTTTTAAAAAGCACATAATCCCCAGGGTGTCTTTGAAATGCTCACCTGAAAGTGCTGAATGTTTTCTTTCTGTTTGGACAGCCACTCCTGCTTCTCCTTTTTGGGAGTTGACTGGTTCTCGCTAAGTTCCTGTCACACAAGTATCAGTTAGTTCACCCGGATCAACATTTAGATTGAGATATTATTCAAACTGATCAGCAACAATCACAGGCGACCAGAGCATTTGCAGGTTACCTCTTTTAGCTGCTCCTTGCGTAGTTTATATTCTCGCTTCTGTGACTCCAAAAAGCTGCTCAGCTCCTTCTTCTGCTGAACCTGGATGTGCTGCTGGAACTTCTTCTCATCGTTGGCAAATGTCTTCAGCTAAATCACATAACAAATAAATGGATACAACATAAATAACGGCTCCTAACATAATAATTAGCGTCAGCTTGGCTACGTACATCCTTCTCCAGTGCGGCCTGGTGTTTCTTCAGCAGCTTCTCCATCTCCTGAGTGAAGTTGTTCCTCAGACTCTCGAGCTCCTTGTCCAGCCTCAGCCGGTGCTCGTCCATCTCTCCTTTCAGCTTGTTCTCCAGGGCCATCAGGTGCTTCTGATGCTGCCGCCTCATGCGTTTGTAACCCGACATCTGCTCCCGTAGCTCTGAGTCCTGCTCGTGTTCCTGCATCTCGCGCGTCACCTGCAAGACGCCGTCCGTGATGAGAACAGCAGGAGAGTCCAGAGAGAGAGGAGGAGAAGAGAGAGGGTGGTCTTACAAGTGACGCCGTGCGTATGGTGGCGAAGTGCTCTCTGTTGCGGTAGTGCTTCCTCGGGGCCTGAGCCGGCGCTAGCTGGGGCTCGGTGGGCTGACTGCTGGCCGCCTGCTCCCCAGAGAGACTCTCCTCTTCCTCCTGGATGAAGAGCAGAAATAAAAATCATCCCTTTTGCTCAGAAACTATGAATAAGAGTATTACACAATATATAAAACACATTTAGGTTACTGTAGCATTTCGTTTCGACGTGCCAAATTTCCCAAACTACCTAAATTAAGGTTAGTGCGCCCTCTGCTGGCTCCTGAAAGTCACACTCAAATTTTAAAGCAACCCTTCAAGGATAAGCTGGTGCAGATGAAGATGATGATGGATGGATGGATGTGCTCAATAAATTTAACTAATTACATAATCTCAGCCATGCAGTGGCCCACACATTTCTTCAGCTTTCACAGGCTAAACAAACAAAGCAGTAAGTGGCTCTGCTAAGAAATCAAACTGTATTTCTGTTATTCTCCCCAAAAAATAAGCAAAGCAATTAAAAACACTAAGTTTTACCCACAAATGTCTCAAAAGAAAGTTTTATTTGGACAGTGTTGCCTCGTATTGGATGTTTGGGAGGAATCTCTTTTCCATGTTAGGCTGCTGGTTTATTGTTTGGACTGAACTGCATAAATAAAAAGTTTTTGTGAATTTGTGATAATTAACTTGATTGTAACTTGAAAAAATGCAGAGATGTCAATTCTCTAAATTAAGCCTAAACTAAACATATTTATTTTACTGACAATTTCTAATTTAATATTTTTACTTCTTTACTCAAAACGTGGATTGCTTGGTTTATTTTAATAAACATCTTCCATTATTTACAACATTATGGTCCTAAATATTTGAGGGGTTTTCTGTTATTTTATGCTTTGTTGAGTTCCTTTCATCACTATGTGGTTGTAAGTTGATAACTCACGTTTTGCATTTATGTTTAGTGCAAAAAAACCCAAACGAAACAAAAGGGCTTACAGCATAAACATTCATTTGCAGTTGGGTTTGTGATCAAATCTCTCATGTTTGAATCCAGATTTGGTTTCAAACATGTTTGCATGACTGAGGTGTGGTCTGATCGATCCCCCCCTTCAACTTGGCGATGAGGCTTCAGTCTCTCTCATGCCAACAGAGTTTTGTGCCAACTTGCCCTCATTACTGGAAACTGATGCAGAAGTTTCCCCACTGGGAATCGAGGGTAAAATGGGGCAAAACTAATCATCAACCCAGGCGAAGAGGCCTGGCGTCCTGCTACTTTTAGACGTCTCTCTGGTCCAACACACCTCAGTCAAATGGCTGAATTACCTTTAATTTGTTCCTTTCCAAGCCTGTTAGCTTAGCTACTCTGGTTCTGTAAACAAACTGCACAGCGCTGTGCGACGTTCCAAACATCAATGATTCAAACTGTTCTCATTTTCATCCAACACCGGAGGCCTTCACACAACAGCTGGATTTATACATTTACTGACAAACAGGTGGGTCCTATTTACCTATTAGCTGACTTTGAAGGCAATTAGCTTCACAAGAGTTTATTACTTTCTTTAGAGGCGTTAGATTAAAACGAAGCACTACACACTTGTGCTTATTTGTATTTTTTTTTTATCTGTTCTGATCCACTTCTATGGCTTTTTGTTTTATATCAAATCCACCAAAAACACAGACATTTTTAATTCAAACAAGACAAAATGAGAAAAACTTCTAGACGAATGAAGACTTCTGTGAAGGCACCGCATGGAAACTGCAGCGTTTTGAGCCGTTTTGTGTAACGGTTCACTGCTGTGCAGCTACAAAAAGCCTGGACTGAAACGACGACAATGTACAGCTCTGATTTTCTTACATCACCTTGTCTGAACGAACAGGCCACGAGTGGGCGGACATTACAGAGCCATTAGCTTTTCACAACAGGACAGATAATGTAGGCTAAGCTGAAGACTGGGACACAAAGTGACAAACATTTCACATCGGTCTCAGTGCCCAAATTATTCATGGACACAAAAAATGGAAGGAAAAAAAAAAAAAGAGCAGCCACTAAAAGCAACATTTCCATTTTGTTTGGAGATGATTTTTATATCTTAGGTTCTTTCTTAAGCCTTAAAGTGAAGAAGGTAAGTGAATACTTGATAAATACAGGAACACTAAAGGAAATTAAACGAAGATGCAGCCCCAGTCAGAACAAAACAAACTCTCTCCACTGAAAGCAGCTTACATACTGAAAATATTAGACCTCCAGGAATTTTTCCCACATTGTCAAGCTTTGACAATAAAATTCAAAGAATTTAATCTGGATTTTAACCAAGAGGCAAAGGCTGCTCAACATGTTACAGATATGAAGTCATCTCATCAGTTTGAAATCCAATATTTATTGGCTAGCACATTATAAACAAAGTGTCCTGATATCACACTCTACATGTCAGTAATATATTAAGGCTGTTGGATGGAGTTTCATTGCCGTTGCTTCCCACAGCAAACACAGATGGCAGCTTCTAAAACACTAAAGGTCCAGGCTGCGCTGGAGGCAAGGTGACAACTCGCATGTCTTTATTTACCAAAAGTATCACCATCGCAAGATTTCCCATCAAGCAGTTCTGTGATAGTCAAACATTAAATATTGTACAATTGTGAAAATGGAAGAAATACGATAAAGACCAGGAACACAGCAGAAGGGTTGGTGATAAGGTGCAGTTCGATCTGGCACTGGAAAATGGAAACAGTGTGGTTCTCTGTCAGAGCCGATCACCTTCACACATCTACATTTGAGGTGGGAGAATCTGTCAAGAGAGCGACTGCGTTTCTTGCACTCTACAGATTTGGGCTGGTGCTCTCAAAGAACCACGGAGCGTTCCCATCTTAGCCTAAAAAGTCCTGCCGATAAGTCGTAGCTTAGCAGCGATTCAGTCAGCTGAGAGCCACTCTGAGCCAGGAGACGACAGAAATAATACCTTAGTGAGGAAGGTGTTGGGTCCCGTCGCTAGGTGTGATGCTGTCCTCTGAGATCGGTTTTTATTCTTCCTCTACTTCTATAATTGTGGTTGGCAAACAATGCAATGGAGCATTATGGCCACCAATAAGTAAGGAGTGTAGACCAAATGTCACCAAAAAGAAAGAAAACTCATATCTTATTGTCTAAACTACATGGTTTTAACAAAAGAAATGGAATATAACTTTTACTTCTTGAGTCTTAAATCAATAAGGTTTGGTTGGACGATACTGGAAGCAAAATAAGACATAAAAACACCAACATGCCTCCAGTAATCAGCTGATAAACATACAATCTAGACTGGATTAAGAAGAGTGTGTCATGCTGATAAAACTATGACAAACTGAATTAATTGCCACACAGCTTTAACCTGCTGTCTGCACAGCTCTTTTCTCTTTGGTTCAGTAAAGGTTTTCCTCACTATCCTGACATTTTGACGTGTTAAGAGCTCTCTGAAAGCCCAAGACTCTTTTCTATTCTATGAAAAATCTTAACACTTCAGAATATCAACTATTTATCCTTAAATGACGTCACTAGGACCTACTTTTAGTCTAGGATTCTTTGAATATGAACCTTGGGTCCAAAGAGGTAAACATGCTGTTTGACAGTTTTTGCTTGTTAAATATATCCTGTGTTCATTGGAGATCATAACTTCCAACATGTACAACCTGGAGATTATAAGATGATGTAACAGATTTCAGTGTCCCTCTACCCACCGGTTTGACGTGTATCACGGAGCTGTTGGACATGACCGTGTGGTCTCCGTCCATCAGGTCCAGCTCGCTGCGGCTGTCCTGCGCCGCTTCGTTCAGGCTGTTGACAGAGCTGCTCTGGGAGCTGGCGCTGATGGACATGCTGGGGATGGACTGGTTGCTGCCGACGCTGTTCACCGTTCCTGTGCGACCTCCGCCGAGCTCCAGGTCCTGGAGCAGAGTGGACAGAGCACACGGATAGAAAGCAAGAGAGAGAGAGAGAGGGAGAAGAAGAAAGACCAGGAGGCACAGACATGCACAGAAACCAGCATATGCTTAATTATTTGCTCTAAATGAAGGAGCAAATGCAGAAACAAAATCCTCCAACGGACCTCATCTCCATCCTGGGCTTCGGTGGTGGGCCCATTGTGAGCCTCCTGAAGGAGGATCTTCTTCATCTTGCGGTACTGCAAGTTGTCCAGCTCCCGAACTGCATCCTTGGTTCTCTGAATGAGATCCATCAACACGGAGTCCGGACGCTCACGCTGGAGAAACGCGTGCTGGAGGGCAGGGCAACAAGGAGGGAGAAATAAACCGGGATAGATACACGAGTCACAGTAACTCCAAGTAGGACAAACAGTGAGGAATTATAGAACAAAGATAAAACCAATTTAAACACCAAAGGCACAAAATGATGAAACCAGATCAAAATTCAAGAATCAATAAATCACTTGCAGATTTTCAGTTTAGCTCTGACCAAAGATCAAACGATCGCAAAAAAATAAAAAATAATCAAAAGATCTTTTCCTGATGAATGAATGAGAGAAGAATACCGACATTTATCGACAGTTTTCCATCTCAACTCAATGGTCTTGCTGCGTAAAATCGTGCTGCTTGTGTGTGAACTTACACCCAACATGTCGTCAGAATGCGGCCTGTCTTGAGGGTTTTTCTGAAGGCAAGAGTCGATAAAGTTTCTAAAGTAATCCGTCCTGGAATAAAGGGGAAAAGACAGAAGGTCAAAACTAAACAGAATCTATCAGACCAAAGTATCAACACTGAAAATACAAAGTTTCCCTGAGTGACGATAATGAAATGCAAACATAGGTACTCTTAAGCTCAGACCATATGATGTTCCCTTCCGTTTTCATTATAGATCATTTAACATACATGAAGATAAAAATAGAAACCAGTGCTCACCATTCACTGGACTGCAGTGTGGGGCTCTCATTCTGCGCTATGTGGTATAAGGCACTCATTGCATTCATATTAAACAATGGAGGCTTCCTCTCCGCTGAAAAAGAAATGGTCAGACAACATTTCTAAGTTACAGGGTCCTGGATCCTTCTACTGGATGAAAATATCAAGTAAAGTCCTCAGGGACACGCCTCACACCGCTGGTCCACACTGACAAAGTGCTGTGACGTACCTAATTCTATACAGGTAATGCCTAAGGACCAGATGTCCACTTTCCCATCATACTGGCCCTCGTCCATAGCTAGAATCACCTCCGGGGCCATCCTGGGGAGAAGCACAAATCAGAGTTCACTGTAAATCTACGGGACACTTCCGTCACACTCTGTTGTTCGACATCCTTCGTTTTACCTTCATGTGACAGAATTTAAAGAAACACAAAAAACAAAACAGTGGCGAAGTTAAGATTTTCTTTCCCTCTGACGTGTGTTAATGTTTAAATTTGGAGTTTAAGCTGCTGTGAAGAGAAACTGGAGAGTCACATTTGACTGCAGGAGCTGCTGGTAGCCTTTAGCATGAATATGCAAACGGAGGTAAACTCTTTTTACAGTCAAATCTACTGTGGAAGATCAAAATATTTCCAGGAAGTCATAAACTACAAACACTATTTTTATAGGGGTAGGGAAGAATCTTTTTTATTTTTGTTCAAACTTGGCAGGCCGTTTAGGTGCATGTAAACCATTTTTACTTACCAATATGGCGTTCCCACAAAGGAGTTGGCAGGTGAGGCGATGGAGGCGGAGCCAAAGTCTGCCAGCTTGACTTGGCCAGGCTCAGTCAGCAGGATGTTACCCGCTTTCACATCCCTGAAACATGAAATCAGAGCGACGGAGAGCGATCAGTGACGTACTGTGAACACAAACAGACCTGCGTCATGTGAAGCCCCTCACCTGTGGATCATGTTGTGGGAGTGAAGGTACGCCAGCCCCTGCAGAGCGCCATGTGTAATGGCAGCAATCTCAACTTCTTGTAAAGGTTTTTTATGGACTGTAGCAGAAAGAAAAATATTAAGAGGTAATGATTCTGACTTTCTAATCAGGGTAAACAAGCAGCCAGAAATCTTTTTTTTTTTTTTTTACTTTAGCTCACCTTCAAGCAGGTCAGAGGCTGAGCCAAGGCAATACTCCATCACCAGCTAAAACCAAGCACTGATCTTAATTCCTCCACACATATACCAGTAAATGATTGGTTGTACAAAAAAGTGACATTTTAATCAAATTCAGCTGGTGGAAATGAATAACTTACCCATGCTGTGTGCTCACGAAGGTAGCATCCTTTGTATTCTATGCTGTTAGGGTGTCGGATCCTCTGGAGAAACTTCACCTCCTTTATGATGTCCTGCCATTTCTGCAGGAGACAAAACAGGTTCAGCGCTTTTATCGGCTGTCTGCTCAGAGACGGCTGCAGGAGCAAGCGCATCGATAAAACACACAGCAGAAATGGGTGTCAACTTTGGGAGATAAAAGCGACGTCTCAAACCTCAGCACTGCTCTTAATCCGAACTTCAACCGGTGAAACAAACTGAGATTTTCTACATTTTCACCTAATGTCTGGAAATCTAAATATTTCTCTTCATTCTTGAGTCATCTTAATATATTTACTCAGACCTGGAAAATGTCATATTTTTCCAGACTGCCCAATGGCCTCGTTTTATTTATGAAACTAGACTGTGTACCAAAAAAAAGAAAGAAAATGTGTCTTGCCTCGTTAGACTGTTTGCCGCTGTAGGACATCTTCTTAATTGCCACCACCTCATTCGTTCGCACATCCCGTGCCTGGGAAACAAAAAGCACATCTGTTGATTCGCATTTCAAATGAAACTCGTGTTTGACCTTTAACTTTCTGTACATTAATCTCAACAACAAGGTCCTTGTTTACACCAGCAGAGTAAGGATCATTTAGAAACTGCAGTCAGATGTGAAACATCAGGAAAGTCAGAAACTCTGTGTAATTAAACTCCTTCATGGACGGATGTGATTAGATCAGTCAAGCTTTACTGAACAGGACATAGCTTCTACTGCAACACTTATCTGCTAAAATCTGAAACAGTAATGTATGGAAAACAGGCTGTGTTTGAATCCTTAATTTGGCAGGTAAAATACCTATTCAACAGAACCTTTTACTGCTAAGATACAGTAAATTGTACACAAAGTACAGGGGGTGTAAATAATTGATGCCTTACGAAGTAGACAGCCCCGAAGCTGCCATGACCAATCTCTCGGAGGTCAGAGAAAAGCTTCTCTGGATCTTCCTTGAAGAACAGCTCGGCCACGTCCGGGTCCTTCAGGCTGCCCGCCCTGGCAGAGGAAGGCATCCTGGTCTACGCAGTCCCGTATGGCCCGCACAGAGGGGATGGGACTATCTGGGCGCAGAGCTACACCAAAGCAGCTGAAGACTCATTTGCAGCTATGTGGGAGCCTGAGGAAGTCAGCACATGAGCACCTGGACAGGCAGAAGATAAAGGAGGATTGAGGTGTGAGAAAAGGCAGAGAGAAAAAAGAGAACAACAAAAAGCATTCATTTTGCACAGAAAGAGGGAGATATGCGGGATGAGTCAGAAAGCCAGCATTTGAACAGAGATGATAAAAAAAAAAAAAAAAAAAACGAAAAGGGGTGATCCACAGTGAGAATAGTCGGACAGAACATCTCTTCATCTTAAACTCAAACTGCTGAAGCTCAAACTGTTTATGCCCAAAAACTGGACTGACGCCTCAGTCTGACAATGACATTCTAACATCTTTATGACGATGTTTCTCCTAATCAGCTTCACATAAATACGTCCATTAACAAGTCGTGAGACAGCACAGCTGAAGGAAGTCCTGATATATTCAGCATCAGCTCTCCAGACAATCAAAGTAAACAACAAACAGTTTCCTCAGAAATGTCAGCAGCTCTTTGAATATTTGAAATAGCTGGTTATTCTTCCAGCTGCTGACAATAGCATGATGAACTGACTACAGAGTCATCACTAACGCATCTGTTTAGACTGCTTCAGCAATTACTGCAGATCTGAAAGCTACCGGCGTGACTGGGGCAATGCAAATATCGCAGGATTGATTTAGTGTCCACAACCAGGAGGCGGCCCACAGTAATGAGAAGCAAGATGAATAGGAATGCAAGCTCTTCTCTAAATGCAATTCATCAACTTTACTCCAGTTATAACATGAACTCTGTAGGATATTATTCATATTCTGAGAAAATGTGTGTACCTTTTGCATGCCAACGCACACTGTACACCAGGGGGGTCAAAAGTGTGGCTTGTGGACCATTCACAGCCCTCTGGATGATTTTAACTGGTCAATGACCACAGTTCAAGAACGTTACAGGCGATGGTTGCAGACACACTTTATTTAATTATTTTAATTATAGGGTGAGATTTTCACTGAGGTTATGCATTTTAAAAATAAAAAAATTAAATTTGGCAAAAAATGGACAATGCTAAGTACAGAACAAAAAATGTGTCCTTTAATCAACTAAATTGTTTTGCTAGTGTTTAAACTGTTTACATGCAGACTACAGCATGTAAACAGCAGGTCTACTTAAAAAAAAGTCACTCATATATTATTCTAGGGAATGATTACAGATCATATCGTAGAAAACACACAAAATAATCCGAATACACAGTCTATTTTTTTAAATTGGTGTTTAATTATTGACAAAGTTAAAAAAAAAAAAGAATCTAAAAAAAATATCTTGGTAATAATAATAAAAAAATGTGGAACCTTCAAACTGACAGCTTGACACTAAGGTTACAGAGAGTGAAGTTATCAATGAGTCATATCACAACAGAGAGTAAACATGCTAGCACTAGCTTAGCATTTCAGGAAACAACTCTGGATGTAAACATCAATAAATGCATCCGACAACCTCCTGAGTGAGGTAAATGGGACACAATAACAATACCATACAAAGAATATTTGGGTGATCTTTTCCAAGCAAACATGGCATTTTGTGAAATCCAACGGAGCATCTGACCGAAACTTTGGTTTCAGTTAGACCAGAAACCACAAAGACTCTTTTGTCATCTTTGAGCTATTCTGGCGTCACCGTCCATCAGGGAGAACATGTTTTACATAGCACTAGATAAAAATCATTTCCGTTTTATTAATAGATCACCAAATAAAATACATCTCCAATTGGTTTATTTTTGACTTTCCGGTTTGCTTTCAAGGAGTTCAACCAATTAAAAACTAATTACCATGTTCACAACTTTAAAGGTTTGTTCTCTTGAATGTAAAATTCAAATGTGGACACCCATTTATAGATGTGCCACCATTTATTTGAACTGTATGATGATGTACTATGACGATATCTGTTATGTGCAGTGAACCCCCACAGCGGTAAAACACATTAAACCTCTCAGATTTCAAAGTGATCCTTCCAGAGCATCATTTGATGATATCTGAGCTCATGTTGCCAATCCTGCTCATCAACATCTTTCTAAAGCAACATAAAAACACAACAAAGTGAACTGACTTTTCTCTTTTACCATAAAATTAACACTTATTAATGTAAGGGCCACTAAAACTCCCAAAAATCCCTAATGCTCAAATTACCTTTCAATAACAGTCACCCAACCAACAGGCCCGGTTGGGTAATAAGCCAACACATGGTCAGGAGTGAAGATTTCCTGTAATGTTTTTGAAACATGAAGTTTTTCCAGCTAAAACCAGATGGCACTTCCTCATGCTTAAGATGTTATGCCCCATTCATACTGCATTCCTTTCCTCTTATGCCAACAAGCAAACAACATTACAAGCTGGGAAACACAATATTTCCTTGTACTTATTAAAATGACACATTAAATAAAACACCAGAATACAGTATCGATATTATTAAAAATCTCTGTGACTAAAAATATTTAACATCTCAAAAAAAAAAAAAAAAGCCTAAAATATATTTGGGAATTTCAGAGCGTAATCTTCTCATCTGTCAGACTTCTCCCCACCTCTAGATGTGGTTTCATCTTTTGAAGAGATTCCCAGAATCAAAACTAAGGAAAACAAAATTCAGCATCAGAGCTGATTAAGAAAATCTGCTGACCTCAATCGCTACTGCATTCTTAAATTATGTTTGTGAGTATGGCTTTTTCCTCACACTATATTAGTTTCAATAGTTTTGATCTTGTTCTGTCATTAATTAGTGAAAACTTTGTAATAAAGAATGTTATTGCCTTATGAGGCTCGACTGCAACTCTGAAGGAGACCAATTAAGAACCTCGTTTCTTTCTGGCTCCTTACGTTTCAGGTAAACATCATCATCTCTTGCTTTTATGTCCTAAGGTCACTGGATTTTAGTTTATGATCCAGCATGAAGCAAAAACAGCATGATACTTTGAGATTATACTCATACAGAGTAAGAAGGAAAAAAGCTAAAGCACAATCAGCTATTTCTCTCCGTTTGTCACACACTCAATGAAACAGAACACTGAGCACAGTCACAAGACTAAATCTGGAAGAGATGTGCCCAACTGCTGTGTGTGTGTGTGTGTGTAATTACTCAGAGGAACAGTGTGTTCAAAATAAAAATCACAGAATTTTTTCCCCTCTTACAGCTAGAGGAAAATGATTATTTGATGAGTTGTGTGAATTGCTTTTCTATGTCCTGTTAAACAAAAAGAGGCTAATGAAGAGGCAAAAGATGAAGAGCTGAAGGTGCAGTGCAGAGAACGAGTCAGTAAGACATGGAGAGGTGGATAATAAATAATCAAACGCTTTTATTGATTTCTAGAGTGAATCTCATCAGAACTTCACATTATTGGCAAAGGATAAACAACTCTGAAATGTGCTGGTTTTTCAAAAATATTAAAAACTGATGGCCTAAAGAATTTACTCAAAGACATACATCTACTTTTAAGATGTTACTCTAAAAATTAGAGTTACATCTAATGTTTAGATGTAATTATAACGTTTTTGGACACAACTAAACAATGTTTGAGTGAATTATAAGAGCACTACTGCTGCAGATGGAGACAGGTTTGATGGCATCCCTTGTAAAGATAAAAAGCCTTAAGATATGTTTTTATTAATTCTACAACTGGAAACAAAATCAGTGGTAAAAAATAGTAGAAGAGTCTCTTTTAAAAAAGTATTTTTATTTATTTTTTTAACCTGAGCAGAGCTTCTAGGAACCTCTACTTAGAAATCTATGACTTCTTGTTTTCCTTCTATATAAATATAATGCGACACAGGTCCAATAGATTGGACAAGGAACCATTTTTATCTCGTCACCACACACAAAAAGCAAGGAGAGGTAAAAAAAAATAAAAATAAGCTCATCCAGAGCTCATTATTAGAGAAAACAGTGACATCTTAGGTTCAATGAGTCAGCTAGTAAAAGCCACCCGGTTGCTTGGAAGGGATTTCAGGAAAAGCCCCTTTCTGCCCCATCATCACAAGAGTGAGCAAGTTTGTTCAACTCCACTGGGACTTTCAACAGGATGCTGTGTGCTTTGGTCGAATGAGACCAAGACAGATTTTTGGCAAACTCGATGTGGGTTTGGCATGAAACAAAGGTTGTGGAAAAGCACCTCTTGGATACGGTAGCAGCTACTGAAGGGGTTCTTGTTATAAAAAAAAAAAGTAAGAACCACCGATTTAACGGGAACAAATCATCAAAGACGTCTCCCTCTTTGTGAATTGTTGCAAAAGATTAAAATGCATAAAAGGTCAACACCTGGTGAAAAACAAAAATATGTTTTTCAAAGAAACAATTATTTAATAAATGTGCTCACATGCAAGGCTTTGGTTTTCTGTTTTCCAAACATAAGATGGATTTATTTTAGGCCTTTTTCACATCTTTGACAAACCATTTTGTGCATGTTGACATATTAAGACTGGAGTTGGTTTTTAATAAAAAGTTATCAAGCAGAATTCTTCAGAGAGCGTGATAGTGTTTGTAAAGAATAACAGCTATATATTGATTATGTTTTATTTCATTCATTCATATAAACAATATTATCTACACACCCTTTCTTACAGATGCTCACTGAGAGATGCTTAATGCTGCAATACTAAATAATTCAAAACAGAAATGCACTTAGGCTGTTCGTCTTCTAAACTGATCGGCTTCATGAAACTGGCCTTGATGCACATGAAATATTTCCTAGCTTCTCAATGCAAAAGATATTAATTTATAAACAGAAGTTACATTATTTAAGTGTTTCCAACCCATTTAAGAGTTCAGTAAAATGAATAAGCAGTACGTTTAACTGTTCACATGTTAAAAAAAAAAAAAAAAAGAAACACCAGTCACCAGCAGTACTGGAATCAATCAATAAACCGAGTGTTGGTGTAGGATTACTCACTGATCATCAGGCAGGCGCTCAATAAAAGCAACACAGCAACGTTACAGCTGTTTGTTCAGAGAAAATCTTAATTTCAGGACCTACATCAGAGCTGTTATCCAAACGGCTTACACACACACTACATCTCTATCCCAAGATGGAGGGTGGGGCGTCCACGCTCTTGCTTCCCAGACTGATTACAGATTGTTGACTTGACTGAAGGGAGGAAGTCAAAACTCTCCAGCACCCCTGCCCCGAATTCAAAAAGGTGACGAATCCCATTTTCTGCAGCTACAGTCACGATTGCGATGGAAGAGGAAAGAAGTGACCAAACGCTAAGAGGATTTAAGCTACCACATTTCAACCGCCGGGCTCCATTCACCTTCCTGCAACTAAAATAAATGGCACCACTGTAAAATCACCAATGTGCTAAACTGTGTCTGGACTGCAGAAAGCCGAGTTAAAAACTGCAGCACCTTCAACAAGACAAGAATGAACCACTTACTGCTTATATCAAGATCATCAGTTGCAACTTTTAAAACTCCAAAAATGTTCATTTCATTGGAATCCTATGGATTCAAGTTATTTTACCGACAAGGTTCCAGAATTGCTACAGTTTTAAATATTGTAATGAATCATATCAGTTGATAGATAATTAGTGATTAGCTATTTTGTCTTAAATATCTGAAATCCTGGCGTGACCTTTCTTTTTTTATCCAGTTTTCAAGCTACTCCGTTGCTTTTTATTTTTAAGCTGTTATGAGACACGGTGGGAAACCTGAAACTGCTGCTGCGCACGTTACTCAGCAGGCTGTTGCTAGGTAACCGAAGAGTGAGTTGATCGTACCAACGTAGCTTAGCTAGCCATGACAGGTTGAGCAGCTGAAGTCTTTCCTCTGCCTACATCCCCCAGAATGCTGTGCAGTTCTGGATTGGAGTTTGGTGAATCTTTGAAAATTCTGTCAGCTGTGTTATTTATTGATTTTGATCACCTGTCTATAATGTTACTGACTTATTCTCCAGCCCTACATGAACATACATTAAAAGAGTGGTCCCCCTTCCCCACTTGTTGCTGCTAATATTTTAAAACCATGTTTTTTTGTACTCAAAGTTTCTATTTTTACAATCTTCCATGCCTACTGTAAAGTGAATAAGTATGTAATAAGCAAATCAAACAACAAATTATAAATAATTATTTCACTTTCTACACTACATATTTGCTGAACTACAATAACAAGAATAAAAGAATCTGATTGACACCTTTTTCCTTGATCCTAGTGTCACATTTATGTCATTCAAAGAAAAAACAAAAAGCACAAATATGGTCTAAACCAATAACAAACACATGGACATGAACGCCTAAGAGGTTTTCACAGAATCTCAAGGTCTTTGAAGCCTTGACTAACATGAAGGTTTCAGTTTCCACAAAAAGTACAAAAAAACTTGCATAAATAATCTACTTGTAGAAAGGCTGCAATTATTCCTGCTTCTTCCACATTGATTGCTACTGTTATAATAATGTTATCTGGAATTCATTAATCATTGTTTTGAGTATAAAACAAGGCCTTAAAAATCCAGACTGGCTGCTGACTAAAGTTAAGACTAAAAACATATGAACAGCAAATATGCTGCTGGTTTAACAACAGTTGTGTTTTTTAAACAGTATTATCACTCTACTACTCTATGCTCCACAGACAGAGAAAAAACAAATAATTCTGATAACTCCAATAACTACTGACATTTTAGTAAAAGGACTACAAACAAGAAAATAATGGTTATGCCAGAAAGTTTTGTGGTTTTATAACTGTATTTTTAATTACACTGAATAATGTAGTCTATAAAAATGTTATTTATGCTTACTTTATCACAAAAACTGAATTAAAAATAAAAAACGTTTTTTCACTGTGAACAACACCATTAAAACCAGAAGACAATGAAGCAGTCATCAGGCACAACAACTGAAATGAAAAACACAGTAGGGTTAAGGTTAATGTGCCTTATAAATGCTGTGCAAAAATCATATCTATTATGGAAAATAGGAGGCTCATCCTGTGGAGCAATTTGCTCTGCAGAGGCAGACTATCAATGGCTAAATAAAGCAGGGTAGGCTTTATTCCAGAGTCTAATCCATTTTTCCTGGGAGACACTTAAATCCATCATGCTGTTTGTCCATATTCAGCGCCCTCTGATACAAAGCTGGCAAGTAAAACATTAAAACTTTAAAAGGGGCTTCAGTCAGAGCCTTTGAAAGCACTGTACTTAAAGCAACAACGCAGTGATGGAAAGAAAGAGAATGACAGGAGCACAAATCTCCAAAAACAACAAAAAACTTTCAGGTTTAGCATAAAGACTGCATTAAACACGTTTACAGGTGAGCTGCTCATACTGCAGTGCTGCTTCACTGGGTTTATATCCAGCCAGCGCACAGAACACGGTGTGGGTGTTCAGGTACATGAGGTTATCCAGCCACTGACATAACATTTAAGCTGCCTTCATCCTCTGTTTACAAATCCCAACGTATTGCCATGCACGATTTATATTAACGATGCTCCTAATGCAGGTCATACACCGTGTCATGCAAAACTCAGCGACAAAAAGTCCCAGATAAAGCCAGCAGAAGGGCAGCCTACTGAGTGCTAGCCCGTGTTACGCAATATCAACACACAAAGCTGAGGAATGCGACTCACGTCAGCGCATAGAAAACAGCCATCAGCTGCCGATGGATCCGCTGCCAGCAGCTCTAACGCGATATTAGGGCACTGATTCGTTGTCTTCCACTGCCCTGTGCTGCTTGTAAACACACAGCCATAACACGAAACTTATGTGCGACATATACAGGAGAGCCAGGACCGATGTCACCAATTAATCACACACAGCAGTCGACGACTCATGATGCCTCTGGTGGATAAGAAAACTTCCCAAACCAAACAAAACACATCCAGAGCCGAGCTGGACTTGACGTTTAGCGTAAGGCTACACTGGACAAAAACAAAACCGAGGGAGTGGCACGGCTTGCAACGATTGCTGCATAAAGCGGATTAGCAAGCTAACCGCATCCAGCTAACACTTATTTGATAAAGCGATCTGCATCCATTATTTACATCTCCAATTAGCTCCTTACTCCGTGTCCCTGCACGTTTAGATTAACTACGATTCCCGTTGACATTAAAAACATTTTTATGCAATCAACTGATCACCACACAAACCGAAATTGAGAAATATGAAATATGTCGAAGAGAAACAAGATAAAAGTTGTGACAGTAACTTTCTGTTAGCAGGCGAATAGCAGTAAATCTGACTGGCTAGCCCGGATGCTAATAGGCGTTGAAAACAAGCCTCCGAAAAAAAAAAA